GGGGGGGGGGGGGGGGGGTATCTCCTAGATGCATGTTATGTGTATGGTATGTGGTAGTTTGGAGGAAATTCACTAAGCTTCGTGCTTACAGTTTTCAGTTTTGGTTTCAGGTACTTCGGGTAACAAAAGGGAAGAGCTCGGGATGACTGCATTACACACATCATGATGTTTAGCCTGGGATGTTTTACTCTGATATTAACGTGTGTTTTTGATATGATGATTTGAGATACTATGACTTACATTTTGATGAGATGATTTTGATAACTATGGTTTTATTTAATGATTAAAAATGAAAATTTTGGACCGTAATTTTGGGATGTTACACCTAGCTACAGTAAAGTTGGATCAAAGACTAACCATAAATGTAGTAAACAAGTAAATTGCTACAATACACAATTTCACAAGAGTGCGTCATAAATCATAATCATAGAATAATTAGAATCAAAATCGAAAATAATTCAATAGCATTTAGCAAAAAACTTCGTAAACCGATGCTGATTTATAACATAAAATAATGATATCATAAAGTAATACTAGTATATGAATTAGCTTTGACTTTATCAAATTAAGAAGTAAAATTTTGATTAATTAATAAAATAACATCTTAAATCAATTAGGAAGTAACATCAGATTTATCAAATTAGAATACCTAGAATATCAAGACATTAAACATTATTTTACTAAATTCTTTTTTTACAAGATCATATATTTATTCAAACAAAATAACACCTGAAACTAAATTAGAAATTAACATTTGACTTATAAAATCAGAATACCTAGAATATCAACTTATCAAAAACTATTTTACTAAATGTTTTGCCAAATTATCTAATTAATCAAACAAAATAACAGTTTGAATCAAATTAGGAAGTAGCATTTGACTTATAAATCATAATATCCAGAATATCAAGTTATCAAACATTATCTTACTAATTTTTTAATAGATAATCTAATTAATCAAATAAAATAACATCCAAATGCAACATCTGACTTATCAAATCAGAATATGTAGAATATCAAGTTATCAAACAGAATGTCCTTAATGTTGACTACATCATGTAATTAACCAAACAAAATAATATATAGAAATGAAATTATACTGATTAGAATACTTAGTATACACATATATGATAACATATTTCACATCATTTGTAATAGTAGATAATTAATCGGTTTTGTGGAACTGGGGTTTACGTGATTGTTATTGCTCATGTGTTGTGTTTTTACCGATATGAATATCAACTCCATATTGATTTATGACATATGAAACTTTGAGACTGATTAAACATGACAATTAAATAACAATCACATTGTTAGCACATGCGTTAGATCTTATATATTATATCGTTCAAGAAAAATAAGCTCAAGCCTACACTTCAAATTTGTTATGAACAAAAATTTATATGTAATATTTTTAAAGATTTACATCATTGACACAAAAATCAAAATCTAGAATACTATTAGATTTCGAAAATTGACATATTCCACTTTTATATTATAACAACTGTGGATTTAATTCAAACATAAACGATTGAATTTTGAAAATCAAAATGGGTTGTAACTTACCGTCGAGTCTTGGGACACGATCATAATCGGAATCCTCTAAAATTTAGAAAAACAAGAAAGTTCAAGTCCCAAAAACACAAGACAATTTGGTTTTAACATTTTTTTTTATATGAAGTTCTAGCTGAAATACCTGTAATATCTTGACAAGGTTTGGTAATAATGTCCTTAAGATGATCTTATGGTGTAGATTTTGAATCACGTTGTGTTGATGTAGCCATTTCCGATAATAGAAGCCTATGTATTCTATTTTAACATGCAATAATGAAACGAATGATAGATTCCCACATAAAAAACATAATTCTTTTAATCAGTGAATAAAAATCAACATATATATGATTTAATCATCAAAATATATTAAAATAGTGAAGGAGAAGACACAAACTTAGCGAAATTCTCTTTTTGAGAAACATTGGGTTAATTGGGAGAATGGCTAACAATGTGGATACGATCCAGGGTTTTGATTTGACCGACTAGGGTTTTCCGAATTAGAATATGTAGAACCCGAATTATTCAACAGGTTAATTACACAATCCGAAATCTAAAGGTTTGAATTAATACCTATTTTGCGAAGTGAATTAGTGTATAATCATAATCTGCTTCTATAGAATGAGGCATTTCCCTGATTGTTTCAATGCGTTTATCATGGTGAAATAAAAAAACAGATTAAAATCGAAAACAAATTGTTGAATTTAGAAAGAGATGAAAGATTTATGAATATGTTTCTAGGGTTTTGAATGCACAAATCTGAATCAAGATTAAATTTGAGATCATCTATGAAGAGGTTTTTTTTGGAGGAAGTAAGAAGCAACATGAAGAGATATTGAATGACGATTGATTATTTTGACGGATAGAAGTTATATTGTCAAAACTACCCCTCCGTGTCCTTCCTCTAATCCCGAAGTTTGATCAAATTGCAAAATTGCCACCGCCCCTGTTGTTTTAATTTGAGTTAATTCTACACATAGATTATTTATAGATTAGTGGTTCAGATTTTGTCTCCACGTCTCATAAAATATCATTGTCTCACATGAACTAACCACTCTATATACACACACGGTTTAAAATCATTGCATTTAACCTATGAATAAGAAGTAAATGAGAAAAAAAAAACAATTGTTTAGTGATATTAACATGAGATTTTTTTTGAACGGTAGAAATATATTAACTAAAGACTAGCAAAAGGAGCTAGTTACAACCACAAACCACACCGCACATGCGGTTTCAGATTCTTGGAAACCGCAAACCGCACCGCGAAAGTCCCAAACCATAGTATATGGTGCGGTTTAATGCGGGCGGTTTTACGGTTTCAATGCGGTTTGATAAGATACTTCAATTTTTATTATTTATATTGGTATCATTAAATTTTTGATTCAATAAGCACATGATAGTACATGCAATTATGTATTTCTAATTCACTCCTACAGTACAATTGCTCTCTATTCCCCGTATATTTGACCCACTATTTCGATAAAAAAAATTGAATGTATAGTACATGCAAAAAGTAACCATGTTTGAAAACTAAACTAATTACATGATTTCTATAATTTAATTAAACAATTGTTGTCATGTGGATTAACGAATTTGCTATATGACCAGAAATTAATCATGGATTAAAAATCTCAAAGCATCACAGTATCATCTCATATACATGTCTAAAATTTCACTTTTATATATATATATATAGATATATATATAGAGATATATATATATATATAATATATATATATATATTATATATATATGGTGTGGTTTGATCCGCGGTTATGTAATTATAAACCGCAAACCACACCGCTTATTGCGGTTTACAAAAATTACAAACCACAAACCGCACCACGAAACTCCAAAACTGCATTATGTGGTGCGGTGTGGGCGGTTTATATGGTTTGTACGGTTTGATGCACACCCCTAAAAGCAAGTAGTTACATTGATGGCCATCTTCATATACAAAAATGTACTAATTGGAATTAGTTTAACCAATATTGAAATTTATATAGTATAAAAACAAAACTCTTGACCCATGAAGCATGGACATCTTTTCTAGTTAGTTAATAAAATAGTCCATTTATCCACCTCAAGACCACTAGACTGGCAATTCTTTTTTTGAATCATTAAAATTGAATCATGGATCATAAAAATGATCCATGCTTCAATTTTAATGATCCAATTTGTTTTTTCAATTTTTTAACTTTTTTTCAATTTTTTAAGGTGTCCTCACCGAAAAAATAGTCATCATCGGAACCAGACCCTATATAAATATACCTCATCTAAACATAGTAAAGATGTGAAACATTTTTCCTCTATCTACACAATAATACAAGTATTAGATATTATACTTTATAGTTAAAAGGCATTTGGCCTAGTTGAGTAGTTGTAAATAGTGACTCTCAATTACATGTCATAAATTTAAGTCTTGTTAGGGATATATATATATATCTATATATATTATATATATATATATATTATATATATATATATATATTATCTATATATATATATCATTTAGGAGTGATTAATTTGTTGTTTTAAAAATGAAAATATTTTTTGTAACATTTAAAACCAATTAGCTCAAAAAGACATTTATGAATATCAAACAACCATGGTAACTTCACCTGTTAAACTTGTTGGATAAAGGTCCAATATACAAATTTTGTTGGGTCAAAAAAGTCTGATTCTTGCTGAACTAAACACTTTTGCCCAATAAATGAAAAGATAATATTATCCCAGTCATTATTTAACACTTTTAATAATTTGATTTAAGAGATTGTACAATTAAATATATTTAGGTCCGAGGCAAAAGAAAAAAAAAATGGACCCTATCGTAGATAAGATTTAAGGGTTTTGTAAAGAAATTAATGTCAAAATTGTTTCCGGGTCTTTTATAAAAAAATTAAACTATTATGAGCAAATAAACTTAAATATATCTTTAATTGTTGAAGTAGTATATAAACTATAAAGCCATTAAGAAGTAAACGCATCACAAAAAAAAAAAAAAAAAAGTTTTTAATGGCCAAGAGTCGAACGGAGGACATAGTATTTTGTTGGATTTTTATGTTTTAACTAGTTTTACATATTTAACCCATTGGACATGATTCTTTAAATAGTTTTTTTTTTTTAATCATATCAATTTAATCATTATCATTAAACGTTAATATAATTAATCGACCTATTTCGTAATTGTGACATCGGTTACCAAAGGAAAACTTGCTTTCTTAAATCACACAAAGAATCAAGAATAACTTTAATCCATTAGTTGAGAAGAATAACTTGTACAACATCCTTTTTATATCTTTTTATCTCCTAACAAGTTGCTTCACATATTCTATTCTATCTTTTGATAACCTTTACGCATCTAACCTACACGTATATTTAGTATTTTAGGTATTCTTGATCTAGAGCAAGCCATCTATCAACCCTTTGATTGATTCAATATATCGATGTCGAAAACAAGCTTTCTTGACATCCAATACAACATCTCAAGGCGTAAGTTTCTTCGGAAACCGTCACGGATGTTCTCTAGCAGCGACAGACAGTCGTCTGGCCTGCCTATATTCCAACCAAACGTGACTGAGATGAGGCGCGTTTTTGACAAGTTTGATCGTGACAAAGATGGTAAAATATCGAGGGGAGAATACAAGGCTATAATTAGGGCACTGAAACAAGGGGCTACAGATAGAGACGTACAAAAGATATTTGAGGTGGCGGATTTGGATGGTGATGGGTTTATCAGTTTTAAGGAGTTTATGGAGGTGCAAAAGAAAGGCGGCGGGGTGAAGGCCGTGGATGTGCAAAGTGCATTTCGGACATTTGATATGGATGGAGATGGGAAAATAACTGTTGAAGAAGTGTTTGAACTGATGAAGAGGCTTGGGGAGAGGTGTAGCTTGCAAGATTGTCGAAAGATGGTGAGAGCTGTGGATTCGAACCAAGATGGTGTGATTGATATGGATGAGTTCATGACAATGATGACTCAAAACATGAACATTTGAGTGTTATTCTATTGTTGGTTTATAATACAACGGTATTAAAGGTGTTTTTAATTTGGTCTAACGGTATTAAAGGTATAGGTACGAGTCTTTGTAAAATCATGTGTCTAATGTCCAAAAAAAATGAAAACAAGTCTCCTTTGTATTCATATTTATATAATTATAGTAATATATTTTATTGGTATGGTTGTTTTACAAATTCTTTTACTAAATGATGAATATATATATATATATATATATATATATAATATATATATCTATATTATATATCTATATATATATATTAATTATATATATATATAATCATCAAATTTATGATAACTGGTTTTAAACAAATTATGTTTGATACCAATTAGGTGGATATAATTTGAGGTGGCAATCGTGCCGTGTCGTGTCGGGTTCGTGTCGTGTCGAAACACTAAATGGGTTGAAAGTTCTTGACCCTAACCCGAACCGTTTAATTTACGTGTCATGTTGTGTCAATCCGTTTATTTTCGTGTTAGGAGTATACCTTAAAATATGTCGTGTTATGTGAGGTTAAAAGATTGAGCATGTTGAAACACTAAATCTATTTCACAAACGTGCTGATTGATATGCCGCATTTTATAACTATAAGTATACTTCTATAACATACAAATGATTTTATTCTTACTTTTTGAAATAAGATATATAAATAATACATCAACACTTACATTTTGTTGTTGTTTTGTGTTACTGTGTATATGTTTTAATTTTCCTTTTGTTGTTTTCCTTTTACCTAATGAAATAGGAATATGCCAGATTAGGAGACTATAAGCATAATTATACAACATAAAAATCATTTCATTCATATGCCGCACTCTATCTGTTTTCTAAAATGCCTAAAACAATAGAGTTTTCTAAAATGCCTAAAACAAATAAAATTCCTAATCTGACATATCTAATATTCAATTGTATATACTATGCTGATATAATCTATTTCACAAACTTGTTGATTGATATGCCGTAATTCAACCTTAGACAAAATTGCAAGAATGGTCCCTATGGTATATCGAAAATTGCCACTTTGGGCAAACAGGTTTGGACTAGCACCAATAGTCCAAAAAGTTTCATTTTGTTGCGAGTTTGGTCTATTTTTTATAAAATGACGATTTTACCCTTTGTATTTTCTTTTTTCAGTTTTTTTTATTACATAAATCAAAAAGAAAAAAGGAAAAAGAAAAGAAAAAAAATGCTCTCTCTCTCTCTCTCTCCCTCCCTCCCTCCCTCTCTCTCGTCATTAATGTCATACCACCACAAAAACCAGACCACCACACCACAGTAGCCAAACCACCACCGCCAGTTGGATCACAACCTCTTATCGGAACCCTAACATTTTCCGATGCCAACTTCTCCTGTGCTACCCATTTCATCGTCGAATCCCCCGATTCTTTCGTCAGTGGCGAGAAGGGTTTGGCTAGAGTAGTTCCCCCGTCTGTGGCTCTGGCTCGAGTTTATTCAACCTCGTGTTTCTAGCACCACCGGAGTCCAGACCAACTGTGGTGAAGAGAGCGAACGATGATGACATGTCTGTCACTGTACGAGAAGAGTTTCGTCGCCGCCTGTATACAAAGTCTAACTCGATCTTTGTTTGTGACGGGGGGTGATGAAGCAAGAACAAAGATGACATCTATGGCTCGAGTCCAGCGCAGCTGCCGACTCTACAAACTCTAGCAAACCCTAGCAAGAACGACGTCGTTTGATCCACATTTGTTGTACGACGAAGTCGATGGTTGCTCCGGTGAAGCTGACGATTGAAAACCCTCGGGGGTTTTGATTCATTTCCGATCTTCGTCTTCAAAAACCATTCCCGGATCCATAAAACCTTCTAGCTTCTGACACCACCTTCGCAACCCCTCCTCACCGTTGCAAACCCTAGTAACTCGACGAAGACGATGGTTGAGCCGCTGCAAATCGGATACACCTGGAGCCTTTCCGATCTTTGTCTAGTTGCCTTCTTCTTGGCTGTTAAGTCTCCGACGAGGTTTCCATCGATCAAGAGGGTCAGCGGAGCAGTGGGTGAAGGGATGGGTGTTTGTTGGTGCTACCCGACCGGAGGGAGGCGGGGAGCGGCTACGAAGGTGCTGATCGGCAACCTCTTTTCTTCGTCGGAGGAAGAGAGGGAGAGAAACGACCATCTTGTGGTTTTAGTTGTGTGTGTGTGAGAGTGTGAAGAGAAAGAGAGAGAGAGGAGAAGAGAGAATCTAGAGAGAGAGAGAGCGAGAATGAACATTTTTTTTCTTTTCCTTTTTCTTTTCTTCTTTTATTTTTGTAATAAAAAAGGAAAAAAGAAAATAACAAGGGCAAACTAGCAACAAAATGAAAACTTTTGGACCATTTATGTTAGTCAAAACCTGTTTGGCCCAAAATGGCAATTTTCGATATACCACAGGGACCATTCTTGCAATTTTGTCTCAAACCTTATTTTGGATCCACACTCCATCCACTTCTGTATAATGGTTTCCTTATTTTGTGTATTTATTGTAAATTGTCTTTTTTCCCTACTCAACTAACTACTTTGTGACGGGTTGTTTTATGTTATAATATATGAATATACTACCACATTCTACCACTTTAATCAACAAACTGAAAGTATTATGTTTTACTATTTGTGTATGTGAACATTCCAAAAGTAAAATATTTTTCAAAAATGCAACATCCTGCATACATTTTACTGTCATTATATATACCAATTTGTTTAAGTAAATTGTATATGTTTTACCTTGCAGTTTCTCTACAAGGTCGGAATATGCTTATATACGTCGCTAAACTCCATTCTTTTCTTTAATCGTGTTATAATTGTGTGTTTGTGTGTAATTATGTATGTCAATTGTATTTGTGTCTTTAATTCTGTTTTATGTGTATGAATGGGCTGCAACCGAAACAACGCCCATCGTTGATGTGAATTTTTTAGTTTCTTGTGGAATTGAGGCCATTTTATGGTTATATTCAATGATCATATGGACATAAACACCATCATTTCAAGCAAAAATATATTCAATTGTCTTAAAAGTAACAACTTAATTAATATATACCAATACACATCCCTATGTGGATTCTTGGACTCTTTGATGGAGTAGCTCGGGGTCAACTTCATATATAGGTTCTTAAGCATTCAGTTGCATCTAACCGATGTGTATATAATTAAAAAAACACATTCAAACAAATGAAATTTCAATATACGTTGTTCTATTTATTAACCATATGTCAATTACATAAGCAATATATGTTTTGTCATGAAGACTACACAATATAATATATTAAAATTATTTTACATGCCTATACATATAACTTTATACTATCACCATTTTAGTACGTGAACTACTTTAAATAAATTAACACTTTTAGTTACACTATTTATTACAGGAATATAAAATTTCAACAAACTTTCGAATCTACCTTCGATTTTAATTTAAGAACTCAGTTATCTAACATTTCCATCAATATGAATACATTTTGTTTAATATTTTTTATTTTATATGTTACTTATGTCAATCTGTATGCATTATATGTGTGTGTGTGTGTGTATATATATATAATATATATATATATATAATATATATATACATATATATATATATATATGTCACAACTAACATTTTAGCTAGGAAATTCTGTCTTTATGTAATCAATTCTTGATGTATCTTGTAACTTCAAGTTTAAGGATATACATGTTATTCATTTCAAAAACAACTATTCAAGTCAAAACTCATTCGTGAAGCCCAAAACCTAATCCTATACATTTCATACACTCTATTTGGGGTTGTAACCCTAATTTCCCGATTCAAACAATTGCTGGGCCAGGAATCATTTATTGGGCCTAATGGACCAATAAACCCTCAACTTGATTATCTTGGGCTAAGAATTCTCATTTGGGCCCTAAATGGACCCACATTCATTAAACTATAACATTTTGGGCCATAAGGCGCCTTATTGGACCTAGAATGTCTCACTTTGTTTTCATGGGCCTATTTGGGTTGTAAACCACTTTCTTGAACCTCATTGGGCCGTAAACCCATATATTTGCCCTTCTTGGGCCGTAAACTCTCAAGTGAGCCCACATAAATAAAAAAATTCCTAATGAGCCCATGCAATATAAGCCCAACATCTAAATTTCATCTATTTCCCTCTCATTCTCGACCATTATAAAAAAAAATAATATTAAGAAATAAAAGGATGGAGACTATGGGGTGACACCTCATTAATGTATGGCGGTTATCTATGTCATTAGCATCACATACATCTAAGCATGACTCCAAATCCTTCATGTAAAAACCAACCTACTCACTCTCTCTTCTTTCTTTTTATCCTCGGCCGAAGATGTTGGATTAGGTGTCTAAGCCCATAACTATAATTGGTATGTACTTGAATTGATAGCAGCACAGTCCTTTTGGGTTGCCCTCAACCTAGCAACTGGACAAGGAAATTATGAAAGGAGAGATATTAATTTATAAGATTAATAAATTAATATATATATATATATATATAAATGATTTATTAATATGTTAATGGATTAATATATTAATTAGAAATCATTATGTTTAATTAATTGTTAGCCAGAAATTAATCAGAATTGATTTTGGGGTTAAAAGAATTAATTATAAGGTGCAAGGACTAGTTTGCAATTATCTAATAGTTGAGTGGAAGGCTCTAGAACCCCCTTGGAAGAGGGTGGACGAAATCTTTAGGGGAAACCCTAATAATTTCGTCCATAGGGGCTTGGATAAGGCCCTTGGGTTTGCTTAGGCCCTAAGCAAAGGATAACTAGTGTTTCCCTTAAACCCTAGATCCCTCAGCTATATAAGGAGCCTCCTGGTTCCATGTTTTTGGTACTCTTTCTTTGAAGAAACCCTAAGGCCGAGATTTTGCATACTCCCTCCCCTCTCTCTTCTTCTACTTTCCTTCTTGCTAGTCATTGGGTGTGATTCCATTAGAGGCATTACACTTGTGGTGCTAAAGCTTCCAAGAAGATCAAGATCAAGATC